CGTCAGACAAAGGAAGCAAGCCCACAGCGTTCCGTTGTTTGACAAAGGAGGTGTATTTTTTGGAGGGCAGCACAAGTTAGATGGAAGTTGTTCCGCTGGCCCTGAAGAGATGTGATGACCGTGAACTGTTCCCTGATTGTTTTGCGCTCTGAAGTGCCTTCTTCAGCTTCCAGCTTTCCAAGTAGCTCCTGAGTTTTGTCACTGATGGAAACTGAGTAGACAAAGTCACTATCATGGGATTGATACCAAATATCCCTAAACACGGTTACAGTCTAGTGTTGGGTTTGGAGAAAGGCTTGGCCGTTTTTTAGAGGCATCATCAATGCCTCTAGCACTTTACATTTAGATTCTTAGAATTGAACGAACATATACACAACTTTTTGAGCCACATTCAGCCACCTCTGTTTACTGACTTGGCCACAGCGTTCTACCACAGATGGATCTCTTCAAACCAAAGGCGTTTTACCCCAATCGAACGCCAAGTCCAGCTACTCTTTGCCTGTTCCAAACAACATGAATTGAAACGTGCCTTGTGAAACGGTCCAAAGCTCATGGATTGGAACAACTCAACGAAACCACTTGCCATTGGCACTAATCCCTCTCCTCCATGGATGGCATGGTGGACTCGGCCTAGCAAAGTGCATCAATGGGCGGTGGCATTCCCCTTGAGAGAAACCCTGAACACATGACTCAGAGCATCACCTTCTTGTACTTTTGCGAATGCTCTTTGCCTCAAGCCCGCAGCTTCGGGTACTAAACTATTCCGCTCATCCATTGAACAGCTACTGGCTACTGGTTTCAGTTGACAGGTAGTAACGATCATCCAGTGAAACATGGAAATTCTGTTTGAATCGAGTCGTGTGCGCAGATCCATTTGGAGCTAGCAGCGAGACTTGTGCATGCCTCGCTATCAGTTTTGCAAGGACTGCCACCAAGACACCCTCCAAGACATCCATATCATGCGCCAGTTTCTCGTCCCCCTCCTTCTGTCGAAGCGCACTTGGTTCAAGAGTGCCTCAAGTGATGTCAGGCACAATGGCATCCACAGAAGGGCAGCTCACATGACATGGCCTGTGCTTTGATCATGCGGGGAACTCATCACTTGCTTTATGTTGATTGGTTCCACTTCTCTGGAGCAAAGTCTCATGTCATGTGAGCATCTGCCAAAACATACTGTCCAGTAAAGGACATGATTCAGCAAGGTGATCGCTTTTGAGGGGGGCCTATCGCTTTTGCAGGTATTAGCCAAATTCCTGAAATTCTCGTCCGCTCTTTACCAGATCAATTGCACGTTCTGGCAGTCGCTCATGTGGCATGCTGTCAAATAAAAAGAAAATGTCGAGAGGCCATGCTCCTCAGCCGAAGGCCTCACAAAAGTGAGTTGAATGTTACACTGTTACACAACTACTTGCTCACTCAGTGTTCACGGTCAAAAGTGATCAATTTGTTCCTTCATGGCTATCCTACGCTGTCCTAATTGTTCAGGCTACTATACAATGCAGCACAATCGCCATGTGTTGTCAAAACTCCTGGACCTGTCCTCAAAACAGCGGGCCTTGCCATTGCTGCACTGAAGCCTCCCATGAATATCCATGAATGAGGTTTCTGCAAGTGCAACGCAACTCTGAAGCTTTTGGCCCCAAAATGAATCCCAGGCGACGTACCTGACATCATGACCTACAAGTTGTTGGGTTCTAGTTGTTCGATTCATGAATTACAACGGTCGTATCATGTACAAGAAGTCATGTTGTAAGGCAATTCTGCAAGGTCAGTATTTTCAACTAGCCATGAAGGAGAACACTAGAAGAACACTGCTAAAACAGTGCTGGTTTAGGCCTTGGACTCGACCCAAAGGTACTGAACAAGAACAAAAAATCTGAGGACTGAAGTCGTCTAAACCGCTTCGGTTTGCCAGGCTGCGCTGAGCCCAGGCGCCTCCTCGCCCCCGCTTAGCTCGGTCCGGTTTCGGCACCACCGGTGCTGAGGGCACCAAAGGTTTTGTGGCCTGCGACCAAAAGCGGTAGAAACGATGTTGACTGACATCTTGAACGAACTGAAAGAAATAGAGGAAGGTGGTAGCAGTGGGTAGTAGTCCTCGCTGTCCTAATCATAGTCGTCGCAACAACAAAAAGCCCACTTCCAGCTATTTTACTTTGGGGGCTGTTGCGACAACTGGAGTACCCTGAGATGACAAAATAAGCCCGGGGAAAACCCCAACAGCTAGTGTGCACTTTGAAAGTTATGTCACAAACCATCCAGCTTCATGCTGAAGCGTAGCCTACCCTTTTCACAGCGTGCTCACGTCCAACAATTTCCGGGAAACCCACCAACATCACCGCACTCACGGCTGCAGCGCTGCCGAACGTCATCTGGTCGGCGAAAAAACAAGCACAAATAGTGTTACAAAAGCGCGCTGATATGGCTCGAGTGGAATACCACCTTTGACGCCCATCAAGCCGTCTAGACCTCTTCTGCTCGAACAAATGAGCCACTAGGACGAGGCTGCTTTGACTGCATGTGTTCAACGCCCCGCCCCCCCGCCGGATCTTTCTCCGGAACCTTCCCCCGGAACTTTACTCCGAAACCTTCCTCCGAACCCTTGTCTGGAACCTTCACCGAAACCTGCTCCGGAACCTGCTCCAGAACCCGCTCCAGAACCTGCTCCGCAGGCGGAGCCGGAACTTGCTCCGGAACCTGCCCGGCGCTTGATCTGATCTGCTCCGAAGTCATTATATATATATATACAATGGCTGAGGAACCCTAAGCTTCGCTGTTGGGGAACAAGTTAAAAGGGTGAACAAACAAGACTGAGCAGGCCAACGCTCTCCGACTCTGCAACTTAGTTCGATCTCCTCCGAGGGTGCGTCCAACGGCTGCAGGCTGCCGGGTCGGACTTCCAGCAAGCCATCAGGAAACTCCTGCGTCCGGGCGCAGTGAGCACCACATCAAGAAGAAACCTGCTCATTCAAGCAAGTAACATAGCAATATAGAAATTCGGGTCTTGGCCGCTTCTACTGAGGAGAAAGCCTGCAGGGACGTATGTGTGTATTTGAGAGAGAGGGAGAGTTGCATCCGGGGTGCAAAGTCACGTGCTCGACGCATCTTTCTGGCAAAGGTTTCTTTCGTTCAGCTTTGCAAGCGTTTACTTCTGGCCATCGCTTGTTGTGGTCATGATTTCGAGCTGTGGAGAAGCAAAAGCAAACGTTGGGGTTCAATAAAGATTGATAACATACAAAAAGCAAGCATATGTTGCTTCGCAAGGGCCGCTGTAGCCTTGGACACCGTTCCAACATGCTCATAAAGGAAGCAAAAAGCTACACGGGTCCTACCTCGAAGAATACATGTGCTAGGTCACCATCTTCATCCTGGCGCGTCGAGATCGGTCAAGAACACATGCATTGCAAGAGGCATGAGTCACGTGCGTCTTGCCGCATCAAGAATATCTCAAGACCTGAAAGTAAGACTTGGCAAGACTGGCTCTTGTCTCCGAAGTGCCAGGATCAAAAAACTACAATTTGTGTATATATATATATATATATATCAATATTTGCAAATATTCTACATATTACGTTTTTCATCATATTTCTATGTGTTTTTTCCTGTCATGGTTTGTCTTTTCTTCACAAGCCTTAGCAGTCTCGAGTCTTTCGTCTCGTCTCCTCCATCAAGCCCGCTGGTAGGGCAGCTGCTTTCGCGCTAGCCTTAGAGACGGAGAGACGAGATTATAGATGTGTATCACTCAAGAAGGCACGTGCCTCCTCCTGGGAGTTGCTGACGATGTCAGTGCCCACAGGCCTGGATTTCTTCTCATTAGGCTTGATCCCAAGTGCACCACCGCCGGAGCAATTCTGAAGCGATTTCAAGGTCTCCAAAATCCCTGAACATCGTGCCTCCCACTGCTTCGTGCATCCTGACCAGCAGCCCCATGCACAAGGCTACTGGATGGTATCACAAGAGACCATCCGAGAGAATGGGTTTCAAGCCAGTAAGGTCCTCCTCATCAAACATTCGCATGAAGTCATCCAACGACGGCCTGAGCACTAACAAGGTGACGAAGTTGACTTTAGAAGGAAGCCTCCAAAGTGCCAAAGTTGTTAAGTCCAATCCACACACTCGAAAATCAATCAATAGATACCAATAGTAATTTCTTCCTCGGTGTGCTTTTACGTTCCATCCTTGCATTTCATGTCATGTCCATCCCTCCTTCACAGAGACAAACCGTTTTTTGCCCCCTCATCCCTCTGGGCACCCCAAACGCAGCTGCGTTGCTCTCAGTCGTTGGGCGCTTCGCACCGTTCGGCGCCTCCAACCCGACCCGTCGCTTCGTCCCGACACGTCCGTATCCCATTGTGCGCGTTGCCTTCTGGATCCTGCTTGCGGTTCTAAAAGACCGAGCGACTGCAAAAGGATGCCTCATGAAATTCTTCTTATCCAAAATGTTATCTGGGTTCTATGACCTTCTTCTATGACCTTCTCCTCCTCCTCCTCCTCCTTCTCCTTCTTCTTCTTCTTCTCCTTCTCCTCCTGCTCCTTCTCCTTCTCCTTCTCCTTCTCCTCCTTCTGCTTCTGCTTCT